AAGGGCTTGCAAAAGCGTGGACCCAGTACAAAGAAAAGGAAAAATAAAAAAGTTTAAATTGAAAAACTCATTGTCTTCTACATATTTCCTCCTCAATATGTTTGTAATTCCATTTCTTCAACACCTTACAAATTTGGAGCTAAAATTTCGATGAGATAAAATGAAAATTATCATTCAATGTTTCAAAAATTTTAACAAGAAGCCAAAATTCACAAGGAGATCTATAAATATGGATATGGATAATTTAATTGAACCACACATTATGAATAAAGATTTGCAATCGTTTCGAATATTCCGACCTATTTGAACAAACATCCTTACGACGTAGAAGATGCAGTACCAAAATCTTCAGAGAACATCATAATCGAGCTAAATGTCGACGAAAACCCAAAAATTGGATACACTGTTATCAAGCTCGACATAAATCAGTTCTTCGAAGATGATGACGAAGCGAGGTTCGATTCATCTGTGGAAGAGATAATTGGTCAGCAAGCCAATGGCGAAGAAGAAAATAGAGACATAGAAGGGGTACTTCAAGGGCACATAATATCGAGTGGACAAGAGATTTTCAATGAATTCGACGACAGGACTGGTGAAGCAGGGGAAACAAGCCAAGGTGAGTTTCATTGATATTTTCTGCTTGCTTGATGTTTTTATTTTCTCCAACTTATCCTGACATGATTGATCACTGTTTGTTGTATTTTCAAGCAAAATCCAATTTTTAGTCTGAGCACGATTTGAGGTATATTAGCTTGAACCTTCCTCCATGAGCTTAGACATGAATTATGATTAATTATAAAAATGATAAATTGGTGATTTGAATGAGATTTGATTTTATGTGGAATTTACGAGATTGAATCGACTATTTTTCAATCTCGTTATCGACAAGTGATACAATGGTAATTCTAACTTTATAAATCATGTTAAATTATTTTGAGGCTTAAGTTCGAATTTGGTGATTTTTGGAGTTCATTTGATATGCGAACCGATTATGTGAATTTGGACTGTTAATGCTCATTTTTAGTTGGATGAGTTAGGGGATGAATTTGGATGCGATATTTTGACCATAAATCATGTATATGTTGAAGATGTTGTGATTTAAATTTCGTGATTTTTGGGGATCGTTTGATATAGATTAAAAATCGGGACTTTAGCCGTAAATTGTGATATTTTTAGAAATTAACCCGGTTGTGATTTAGTTGCAGTTGTTGGATGTAAATTCCTTATAAATCACATAGAACATAGGATTTAAATATTGCCTTAAAATGAGTTGGTTTTTTCGAGAATTGAGATCCCTAGTTTTATCCGGTTCTGATAACCGGGTAATTTTTGGATCCAAGTTTAATCGCCCGAACTCTAGTTCCATTTAAATAACATTGGACGTCATAACATTATAAATGAGTTCTTGGGTGTCGGGATGTGGTTGGTCGGCCGATGAGTCGCCGATGGGACCATAACCGAGCCTAAGAAAGCTACCGAGGCCTTGTGCCTCGTAGCGAGCAGAATTATCCAACCGACGTGCATTAGCACGTATCTTTAATGTGTATCGTTGTCCTGCACATGTGTCACATTCTCGTCCGATCATTGGAGCCGAGCCACCGAGTGCGCGCCCAGGCACCGAGTTTGACCGAGCCGCGCCCCTGCGCTCTGTTCAACGGCCGTGCGTCCATCCGATCTACCCCTCAACGCGTTATTTTCTGTTAGCTGTGGTCCAACCATGCCCCTGCGTCAATGACTGTGGCACCGTTTAAATCCTGTGCGTCGGTAAAGCCGTGTCAGCCGTGTTCGTGCGTGCCCCGAGTTGCTACGCCGAATCCGGACCACGGTTAAGCCGAGCTGCACATAGTCAAGCAAATGATCGGCCGCTTCCGAGTGAGCCGCCAGTCTAGTCCAGTCGAACCAGTCTGGGCAGGTGGGACAGTTCAAAGAGAATTCCAGTTCAGTCGAATCATTCCGGGCAGTCCGGACGGTTCGAGAGTTTAGTTCGGAACATCGGTTTTAGCGTGAACCGAGAATCCAGTTTTTCCGAACCAGTCAGATTTAAGTCCAGTCAGAATGTAGTACAGACTTAGAATATTTCGGAGAACTCTTGTATGCCTCAAAGACAATAAATTTTCAAAATCAACTCGTAAATTACTAAAATGAGTTTTAAATGATTTTTAAAACCGAGTGAACAAACCTAGTCAGATCAGATAATATAATTCGAGTTTTCATATTGAGCCTAGTACTTAGAATATTTTGCTCAAATATTTTTTAGCTTGAGGAGAGTCGAGCCTCCACCTGCTACCAGTTAGTCCAGCTATTTGCATTCTCCAGCAACCAGGTGGGGACCACTGTACTGTGTATATCATTGCTTTTAATTACTTATGTTGGCTGAAGTACGTGTGTAATTAAATTGATGAATGAGTGCTCCTGTCTTTGTCGAGAAATCCAGTATGACTTGGATGTGTGGGCCTGATGCTCCGTCTAAGTCTAAACTTGGGTGTGTGGCCCTGATGCCCCGCCTGAGTATCGCGTCCAGATGCTGACCTCGTGTCTTTCATGGATTTCTGTGGGATGAGACCCTTAGAGTGTGCACATGAGTACCGGTTTACCGTTAGTCCCCAGTTGATTCATGATTTGTCATTAACTGTGTTGTATATTCAGTGTCAATTACGGCAGAGCATCGTTGATTCATTTATGCTCACACCTCCCCACTAACCATTTTCAGGTGACGGAGTCCTGCGTGGCGCGTGAGCTGGAAGTGGTGGTGGTCATAAGCGATGATATTTAAATTATGTCAAGCCATGTATTATTTGAACGTGTTTGAATTATTTATGCTTGTTTATGTTTTGTTTGTTGCCTGTCTCTCTTTGTTGTTGAACTCGTACTTGCTTTCATATTCAGTATTCAGAGCAGTATTCAGAATTCCAATTTATGCATGCTTTAATTCTGAGATTTTCATGGTGCCTTATTAAAGTAATGAATTATACTCGGTTGCATGCGAAATAGTTAAAGGAGGTTAAATATTAAAGAGATAGATTAAAGTTGAGTAGCATCCCGCAGTTAGATTAAAGTATCTTTCGAAAAAGTTTAATTGAGTTTTCGAAAAAGGAAATCAGTATTTCCAATTTTATTTCAATGCGTGAAAAATTTACTATGATTTCTAGTAATAGTAGGTGGAGTGTTACAACTGGTATCTCACCCCTATATATAGGAGTGACCTTTACTATTTAAGCATGATTTCCATTACTATACTCTTGAGAACTGAGTTTGGAGTGAGAGTTACTATACTTACGCATCGGAGACTCTTCACCGAAAAACCCCTCTGGTGTGAGAGTTTTTGCAGGTACTTGGCGTTCTACCGGCGAGAAAAATGAAGGTGGGCCGATTTCTAGCCGGTTGGAAGTCAGACGTACATTAACGATGTTAATAATTTACAAGATAATCAATTCTAATTTATAACATTAAAATTTCTAAGTTCTAACATAATAATAATAAATTCTAACTTATAAGATAATCAATTCAAAGTTCTAACATAATGATAATAAATTCTAACCTATAAGATAATAAATTCTGACTTATAATATAATAATTTCTGAATTCTAACATAATGATAATAAATTCTAACTTATAAGATAATAAATTCTGACTTATAACATAATAATTTCTACTAACATAATATTTTTCATGAATAAAATTAACTAATTAAAAAAAAAAAGAAAACTGGTTAGCGAAATCGGCGATTGCGGCTAAGCTCAATTGCGGCCGACTGACTATGTAGGCCGAGCATGGTCATGGTCGGCCGCAAATTGCGGCCGCTAATGGACACGACCATCATATCCGGCCGACCCCGACTTAGAGCGACCGCAATCGCCGGTCGACCGGTGGCGGTCTAGCCGATTTCGCCGGCCGGCTGGCCGAAAAATGCACCTCGTGGGACGATATTTTCTCGCCAGAAATTGCATGGGTTCAGAGAATTTACTATTTGTTTTGAGTTTTTTTGAAAAATAACAGTGGAGAAATGGTTCAAGGAGGGTGGTACGTAGTAATAGGGGACGGTGAATAGTAACAATACTCTTTTAAAACCTGTATAGAAAAATATAAGGGGAAAAAACAAACAATGCAGATGGGAATGTGTAACGCCCTGTTTTATTTTAATGAATTTACCGAATTTATTTATAAAAATCAGAGTTAATTTTTCGCAAATCTCAATTTAAAATTAAAATCTCAATGTGCGCTACTTAAACACCAAGGACAGTTAACCAAAAATACCAACACATCAGATTAAACCTACACATATATAACTAACAGATATAAAATTTAAACCAAGCATTTATTGAGTTCCCAAATAATCACAAAGTTAAAAGAAAACATAATTCGAGGGTTCAATCTGACAATATCGAAGTATCCAAATTAAAGCAGGAAATAGTCAAAGTCAACACGACAGTTCAAGAATAGGCGGAAGCATATATAATAAAAAGCATCAACCAATGACCACCACTTGATCGTCCTTTCGCCACCGCCACCAGCTCAGCTCAACCTAAAGAAAAGAAGAAGAGACAACAGAAAAATAATGGGGGTGAGCAAACCATCATGCTCACCATTATCGCACAGTTTATCTCGCATAAAGATTTAAAAACAATAACACAATATGCATAGAATCCAAGGGCTAACTCCCTACATGGCACTATCGCAAACCTCCTATGCACATACAACAACCTTCCGATCACAACACGACAAGGAAGTAACTGGAAACCTTCCCATCTCCGAATACAACGGGCCTGGGATCCCTTACAGTACACAGTAGAGCTGTTTTTCCCCTTCACGAATATCATAAGGACCGAGGCGTCCACCTCCAGAATCAACTACGGGCTGGTGACCTCTTACTGTTTATGCATTCCTCAAAGGCACTAACAAACGGGACACTTAGACTAGGGTTCTCATGCATACACAATTTTCGAGCGAAACATTTATACGAATAATGAGTGCGATAATTGAAGATACTACTTAAATGTACCCACCTGGTTGAAGTGAAATCACGAATACAAGTCTCGAATGCAGGTGAGGTCAACACCTCAAAACACCTACATTAAGTCAAGATACTACAATCAACATTTTATCTTGACCTAAAAAGGAAATCACAATCAAACTTAATCGAACTTGATTCAACTAAGTTGTTCGTGAAGTCCTGTGGACATTGGAACTCTTGGACTTAGACTCGACCAAACCAAATATGGAAGTTCACACAAATTTACATAAAAGGGTAATCCAAACAAGTCAAAAGAATAACATGCGAGTCGGTTCTCATATTTTAACACAATAAACTACGTAATGAAATAATTGTGAGAAAATCACATATTCAAGATGGTCCAGCAACCCAACGAGTTAGGCTCTGAAATTTTAACACAAAATTTACCTCACTGAACTTAGTCAAAATACCAAATTTCAGCCCTTAACTCAAAACACACGATTTTTTATAAAATTCAAACAAGTTTACAACGAAAACGAGCATAAACTTGCAACCTGACCTAATGCACGAATTAAGACTTGAAATTTTAACACAAGTAGCTACAACATGTGAGGACTAACATAAAATTTTCAACTATTAACATTTTTTTTTTCCAAAACGATAGGGATTCTATTTATAA